CCACCAAGCAGGTCATTTCCTAGGCAGTAGGTATGCTGGACATTTTTCCTCCCTAGGTGCAGCACTTTGCATTTCTCCTTGTTGAATTGCATTCTGTTGTTTTCTGCCCACATGTCCAACCTGTCCAGGTCTGCTTGTAGTTGTTCCCTGCCCTCCGGTGTGTCCACTTCTCCCCACAGTTTTGTATCATCCGCAAACTTGGACAGAGTACACTTCACTCCCTCGTCCAAGTCGCTCATGAAGACATTAACGAGTATCGGTCCAAGGACTGAGCCCTGCAGGACCCCGCTGCCCACACCCTTCTAGGTTGACACTGACCCATCTACCCCCACTCTCTGGGTATGACTCTCTAGGCAATTTGCCACCCACCGGACTGTGTAATCATCCAAGTCACAGCCTCTTAATTTGCTCACCAGTATGGGATGGGATACCGTATCGAAGGCCTTCCTGAAGTCTAAGTAAACAATATGTACCCCTACTCCTGCAACCAGGCGTTTTGTAACCTGGTCATAAAAAGAGACTAGATTAGTCAGGCACGATCTACCTGCTATGAACCCATGCTGGTTTCCCCTCAGCATAATTTTTCCGGCTGGGCTCTCATATATGAGCCTTAATAATCTTTTCAAAGACTTTGCCAAGGATGGAGGTGAGACTGATTGGCCTGTAGTTGCTTGGATCCTCCTTCCTCCCTTTCTTGAAAATAGGGACCACACTGGCTCTTTTCCAGTCCTCCGGGACCTGGCCTGTGTGCCAGGAGTGCTTAAATATTCTTGCCAGTGGCTGTGCAGTGACATCAGCCAGTGTCTTCAGTACCCTCGGATGGAGCTCATCCGGACCTGCTGACTTAAATGCATCCAGTCCTTCCAAGTGACTCTGCAACATCTCAGGGTCAATGCTTGGTAGTCTGGCACCCTGCTGTTGCCTCTACAATCCCATTGTGAAACTTGTCTTGCCCCTCATTTAGGAACACCGAGGCAAAGAACTCATTGAGGAGTTCAGCCTTGTCCCCTCTGTCTGTCACCAATTGCTTTTGCCCATTCAGTAGTGGTCCTATACTGCCCTGGGCCTTCCTTTTACTCCCTGTATATCTGAAAAACAGTTTGGCATACTGTGTTTCATAAAAATAGTTAGAGTAGAAAAGATAAATGCCCCTTCCCGCTCTCTGCACTGGTGAAGGACCCCAATCAGCCAATGGCGAATGAAAGGCCAGATGCATGAGTGCTCTCGGAGCAAGGGAAAGCATCTAGGAGGCAGAGTGCAGCTGTGGAGCCAGTCCATGTCCATCAAGCTAGGCCAATAGGCTCACATTTGTGATTCTGCTGTTGTGCTGCTAGAGGCAGGGAAGAAGACAGCTTGAAAGCTAAGTGAGTCCTGTACATAGACCTGCAGAAAGCAGAAGGTAAGCTGGGAGTGTATATCAATGTCTTAATGGCTCAAACAAATAGCTATAGGGCTTGTGTCATTCTCTCCAAATTAAACCTTGCAAACCCAGGCAGTTTAGAATTCAGGTTATATATAAAAGAAATGTAAACATGCTGAGACCTGGAAGCACCCAAACAACCTGATCTTGAGGCAGCCCAAAGAGATAAAAAGCTCTAGTGTCTCCCTAAAGCAGTCAGGTTAACACTGGACAAAAGTGCCATGAAACCGAATCATCCTGGTGCAGTTACTTTCGGGCGCTGCTGCAAGAATGCAGGGTGCAGTGCAAGCTGTGCCTGTGGATTGGGAGCATTGAGGAAGGGGCAGAGTATGGCAGGTGAGTTGTGCTTTGGGGGTTGTGGGGGAGGGTGGAGTGGGGGCAGTGTGGGCTGTGGTGTAGTATGGCTGCTACTTCCATTTCCCTGAATGACACTTGCTTTGTTTTGACACCAGTGACACTGCCAGCAACGATCATGACTTCGTCTGTGCCAACCACTGTGGGAGGCCACATGATGTACCCCAGCCCACACGCAGTGATGTATGCCCCCACGTCTGGTCTCACCGATGGTGGGCTCGCAGTCCTCAATGCTTTCTCCCAGGCACCATCAGCAATGCAGGTCTCCCATGGCCAAGTCCAGGAGCAGGGTAAGGTAGACAGGCAGTACTGCTGCTTTGTCTGTAGCAAGCAGCCTGTCCTGACAATCTTCTGTACGTACAATACACTCGCTTGTGAGACATGAATGGGGTTTCTGAATGCGTAATGTTAACTTGTTTCCCTTTTGTATGAGCTGCCTCAATTTAAAAATGGGCCCTTAAAGGAATGCTGCTGGTGGAGGCTTTTGGTCCTGAATGCTATCGACTTGTCTTGCATTTCTGGACTGATTGGAAGAGTTGGGTAGGCTTGAGGTACAGGGTGCTCTGTGGATATTCATGGTCATTTCCCCATTCTTCTTCATAACCAAAAGCTCCTCCTGTAGCAGAGGCTGAGAGAGTGTGCTTTCTTGCAGAGAAACTCAAAGAATTTGTCACCTCTCCCATTAGTTCTCTGTGAGACTCATGCCACAGACTGCTTTAGATGACCACTGTTTTACTTCCCCTGCTGCTTTCTGCTTCCTGGCGGCATAGGGGATCGCTGCCTTCCATGAAGGTGAGCCAGGTTTTCTAAGAACAGTCTCTCTCTATCTTATCCTATTGAGAAAAAGGGGTGTGGTCAGCAGTAAGGATAATTATTGAATGGGTTTCTGTGAAGATTTTGTGCTCCAGCCTCTGGTGAAGGAGCAAGTTTCATTTGTGAAGAATAATCACAAAAAATGACTTTACTCTTAAAAATATTTTTTCAAAAACTACCTAGCACAGTAAAGTAGTGTTTGTGGTCCTCAGGTTGCCCTGAAGAATGGAGACTCTTTTTTTTTTTTTTTTTTTCAGTGCTTCTGGGCTTGGCTGCCACATGGGCCTAGGAGGAATATTTTTCTGCCCTTGTTGGTATAGGTTTCTTTCACGTTCCACAGAAACATTGGTTGTTGGATGCAGTCAAGGCTGGGTTTTTTACTAGTGTGCCAGCACTCTTGCTGGGACTAAAAATCCCAACAGTTCCTAGCTAGATGGTTTTGTTCCTCTGCTCAGGTCAGACCAATGGCTACGTGTGGGATTAGGAAGGAATCTTAGTCCCGCGATTGAATTGGTATGCACTGTGTGGGTTCTTGCCTTCTTCTGTAGCAGGAAACCTGGTCCTCTTCCTTGGATCTCTGAAGTATATTTTAACAAACTACTTCCTGTCCTTGCTGTGGCAGGACATAAGCAGTTCCCTAGTCCCCTTGCTTGACCTGTGGCAAGTCAAAGGATGTTTTTGATGTTTCAGGCACTTGTCTGATACTTGTGCTGGGGTGGGGGTTGCAAAGTTTTTAGTAATAGGTTAGGTAAGCACTTGTATAGAGTGTTGTAGTAGGGAGGCAAGCAAGGGGTTGGAATAGATGACCTCCAGCCCTACATCTCTCTGTTCTTATGAAATCCATTCCTAGGGAGAGGGACTAGAGAAGGGATGGACTCTGACCTGCTGTTTGCAGGATAATGGGAAGGGCAGGCAGGAGAGGAGCACTGGGACATATCACTTGCCAGTTTGGAAATGCAAAGCAACAGTACACTCACGGCCAGCTCCCATATGGCTGGCTGCTCCTGCACTGCACCAGAATGTTGTTGTAAAGTAGCCAGTCTGTATTGCAGAATCAAGCCCCAGAACATTTGAACAAGATCATCTTTAGCATGTAAAACAGAAGTTTTAAGGTTACACTTAAAAATAGCTTGAGCAAGTTAAGGTAAGAAATCCTGGATGAAGACAATGCAAGAGCCCAAGTGATGTCATACCATGTCATGTAGTTCTGCTTTAAGGCAGTGTGGGGTCAATGTTTTTGGCAGGCATACCATGAATTAGTCTCATGCCCTCCCCAAGTGCTGCTCTGATTGATCCCTTTCTGCTACCCAGTCTGCTACTTTGCTTTCAGCTTCCTCCCCATTGCTTTCTGCCCGATCTGCTGCTCTGTTTTTTACTCCCTACCCTATCTGCCACTGTGCTGCCTGTCCCCTCCCCAGTCTGGATGCCACACACCTGTGCTGCAGGTTGGCCATCCCTTGTTTTAAGGTATGTCAGACACTGTGTCATCATAGGATACTTAAGGCTGTCTAAGGGGACAGAAACATGCACACCCAGGGCAAGTTTCAGTGTCTTATGCATTGCAGTGATGCTGGTATCTGTATTGGAGATTCCCTCTGTGGAATCTCCTCATAGTCTCCATCCAGGGCATTGCAATGACAGCTTTTGTGCCACTTCTATTACTGTTAAATCCTATTGAACATTGTCCTGGTGTGTACCTATTCCCTCTTCTACAGGTCTGTGGATTGTTAGTGAGTAGTGATCGGAGGGATCTGGGAGTGGAGTGTCTGGAGAGGAATGTGGGATGGCAGAGGTGCTAGTCAGCCTGGACAGCTATTCACTAAGTTCTTTCCTGCCTGTATTGTGCTGAGCAGTAATCTATGTTGCTGCTGAGATGGATGGTTTCATTCCTTGCTTTTCCTCTCTGTCTTTGGCAGGTGGAGTCCCACAGGTGTTCCTGACAGCCCCATCTGGCACAGTTCAGATCCCAGTCCAACTTCATCAGGTAGGCACAGAACATGGCATATTTATATGGCCCCCAGAGTAGGTCTGTGGGTGTGTGTGTCCATCTTGTCCCCAGATGTCTCAGTCTGTTGCTCTGTTAGCCCTGTGTATTTCTTCATCCTTCACCAGCTGCCTCCAGTCGGCAGTGCCTGGGAATATTCCCCAGGCAGGTCTGTTTTTAATCCCACTTTGTCCTTCATGCTTCCCATGAGTAGGGGAGGACCTGGATGGATCTTAATACTATGTGCGCAGCCAGAGATCACTGCTAAGGGCATATCTTACCTTTTAATATTGCTCAAGCCCTTCCTGGCTGGAGGGAGAATTCCTGAAAGGCAGCATTAGCAAAGGAAAGGGCTTGCCCTGGCATTAACACTGCAACTCTGGCTAGATGTTCCCCTACTGCACAGAAGCAGTGCTTCTCTTCTGGCCCAGGAGGTATATTGGCCTCAGAGAAAAGGGCTGAAGCACCATTGGCATGCTGGACCTGGTAGAGAAGTTGCTGCGTGGAACTTTGTGTGGGTCGTCAGAGCCTGAACTGCTATTAACGCTCTGACTCTGGTGCACTCTGGTTTGAGACCAATGTCACTCCCCTGGTGCTCTCCCATTTATTCTCTCTCTAGATGGCTGTCATTGGCCAGCAGACCAGCAGTGGCAGCAACCTGACGGAGCTGCAGGTGGTGAATTTGGACACATCACACAGCACCAAGAGTGACTGAGAGCCCTGTCGCGCCTGGCCCTGGAGCTGCAGCAGCTGCTGCCAGCCTCAGGCTGTACTCAGCTGTGATGCTTGTCATCAGTTCTGAGACTGGCAGTGATTCCCTTCCATACAGACTGCATCACTTATTTATTGTTGCCTTTTTCACATTTCCTTTACACATGCACAGACATCTACACATACACACACTGCACAGACATAGACACACACACACGGCCACAGGATCCATAGGAAGCGGCTGAGTTGGGCTGTGCGGAGGTTGGTTGCATTTGGACATGTTTACTGTGCTTTTCTCACTCCAGCCAAAGAAACTCGTCTCCTGAGGGGAGCTTGCCCTGCGGTGTAAATAAATACCTGGTATCTGTTAGCAGATGGGAGCCCTGACTCCCTGCGGTATGTTCAGGAATCTCTATGTTGTGTTTGCCATGAGTATTAGAGCCAGGAAGGACACGACTCAGTGACAGGTGGTTGGGGTGCAGTGGCAGCAACCGCTACCCAAGGGAACTCTTGGCTGTCAGCTGCCCTGTGGCTCTATGCCAGGAATGACCAGGCATTGTCTCAGGGCAGGTGGGTCCAGGCTGTGCCGCTGGCCTCAGCAATGTGCCTTGTCAGTCCATGTGACACGTCTTGGCCACAGCAGTAGGCTTCCTCTGTGCTTTGAAGTTTGCAGTGGAGCAAAAGCAAGTGAGCTGCTTCCAGTGAGTGCTTAAATGTGCATCTTGCTTCCACAGCCAGGAGGAACATGACTGTCAGCAGCAGCTTTTGCTGGAAGGGTGGTTGGGATGATATTCTGTTCCTGCTCAGGTGGCAGCACAGGTGTTAGGCCCAGGGGCACAGCCTACATGACACAGAGCAGCCCCCCAGTTGTAGTTGAGTATGGAAGTGTATGAGGGTGCACTGTCTCTTAACCTTGGACCTGGAACTGCCATTCCTAGTACACACTATAGCAAGCCTCTTGCACATCAACTGCAATGACAGTGGTCTTGTGCCAGTGGGTGTCCTCCAGGGGGGCTGTGACCCAGTGCACTGCACTTTCCTCCCAGGAGACTGGCCACATTTGGTTTGCTTGGGGTTGATGCTAGGAGGAACTGAGCTAGAAGCAGAGTGGCTTAAAAGTTTTCTGCTATGAAGGTGTCTTATTCTCTCTCCAAGGAAGTTGTTCTTATGCCACCTAACATTAGCCAGCTGTCTGGGAGCAAGGTAATGTGAACTGGCCTTCGCTCTTCTCCAAAGGCCCTGCAGATGGGCATTCTTTGTATTGTGGACATCTCCTCATCCTCCATTAGCCAGGAATGCAACTGTGTACTCAAGGAATGGGCTGTCTGTTAGGCAGTGGGAACTCAGGTTGCAACTCATGAGGGCTGTTCTTCCTGCATGCTGAATCAAGTGAGGTGTGTGCCCCTGACATTGCTTGTCTTCTGAAGGGAGCAGTACAACAGCCTGATTGCCTCCCTGCTGACAACAATACGTGCTATGGGGAGGTGGTTCTGCTACCCTTAGTGAGTTCTGAACTACTGCTCTTAACCTGAGGTGGAGAAAACAGCTTAAATGTTAAAGGGAAAACCTTCAGGAGCAGCTGGACAGCATTGCTGGGGCAGCAGGAGGGGCCTATTGTAGATTTCTAGGGCACCTGTCCACAGTTGTGAGACACCCTGGGCAGCAGAGGAACATTTGTATGTGCTTTGTTCATACTGATGGAGCAGGAGAGGGGAGGATTTGCAAGGAGGACCTCTCCATTCTGGCCAGGGAGAAGAAGATAAAGTTGCAGTGAATGGCTTTGCGGCCCTGCTCCCTAGCAACATCTTTGGAGAGAGAGGAGGCTGCAGACTCCTTAGGGAAAGAAGCAGCTACTGTAACTTTTTTTTTTTTAAATTAAAGACAAAAGAAGCCTTGAAAAAAAAATGACTTTATTTTTCTAAGTGTTAAACTCAGTATTTATGTAATTCTTAAAGGAATAAAAGTCTGGCTCCTGTACAGTTTTCATGGGGTTTGTACCACAGGGAGGGGGGAAAGGGACAGGAAGGGGCCTTGCTTTTTGATTTGTATTGTAACCTTTGACATGTTCCCTTATGCATTAGCGTTTAAGCTGCTATTCTTGCCCCGCCTGCCTGACGGGTGCTAGGAATTGAATTGGAGCCAGCCAGAGGCCAGCTCAGCTTTGCTGGATGGTCCTACTTTCCTCGCACCCAGCTGTTCCGTGTCACTTCTGCCAGGACTTCTGTTCCACAATCTGACCAAGCAGCTGCCCTGGATCAGCCCATGTGATTAGCATGCATATTAGGCAGCAAACCAAATTCTGGTTCTGATGGAGCAAGCAGTGGCATCTGAGCTCTGCTTCCACTTGGATGGGTGGGCAATGTCAAGGAGCAACATAACAGAAGGGAAGGAGCACAGCTGAGAAGGGTCTGTCCCATTGGACAAATCTAGTAGAAACGTGGCTGATGCAGGGTGCCTAGGTACCCTAGAAGACTGCAGTGGTCTTGGATACCTACAGTCATTAGTTGGCCAGAACTGAAAGGGCTCTTAGTCATCAGTACATAAAGCCGAGAAAGGGATAATAGGACTGTACTGAGATCTCCATAATACTGTCATCAGCCTGGAAAATAAGTGCTTCCAAAAGTGTGTTCCTGGGAGAGCTTCAGGAGGGAGTTTCAAATATACCTGTGAAGCCTTAATTTTCCCTGAGTTGGTTGGGAGGTGAATGCCCAGCCTTGAGGTTTTTGGTAAGGAAGATGTTAAGAGTTTACGTTGTGCAGCTCTTCTGTTCCCTGCTGCCACTCTGTGCCGCAGGAGATGAGCTCTGCCTCCCAGCAGAAGGCCCTTGGCAGTCTTGGTAGATGGGTCTCTCACTTCAATCCTTTTTTTCAGAAGAGAAACTGTTCATGATTTTGACTCCAAGCCTCTCCCTCACTAGTTTCAGCCCCAGCCTTCTCATTGCATTCTACTCTGGTGATCTGAATAGGGTCTTTCCCTGTCAAGGGCCTGGGCTTTCTGGGTACCTGCATAAAGAGCTACTCTTCTCTCTCTCATTTGCACTGAGAAGCTTCCTGGAAACTTTCAAGTTAGACTTTCAGATCACCTGTCTGTGGAGATCCTGCCTCCAGTCTGTAGCTGGAGCCAGTAAGGGGGCAGAAGCCAAGGAAGAACTAGTTTTCAGTAGAGTACAGGAAGGTAGTGATACCAAGGCCTCCCTAGGAGAGATGTCCATGGAACAGGCCCACTCTTCAAGGCAGTGGATCTTCTTGCAGCTGGAGAGGAAAAGGGCAAGGGTTGTATTTGGAGACTATACCAGGACATAACCATTGTGCTCATGTGGCTTTTCTTGGGTCAGTGCTGTGAAACTCAGCCCTTGGCAGTGTATGGAATTAGATTATTAAAATTTACCTGCCACTTCAGGAAATAATCACCCCCATGATCTTAGCCCCCTTCCCACCCACCCTCTACAAAAGACAAATGCAGGTTAAACGCTAATGTTGCATTTTATTTAATGTGCGAACTTGTAAGAACACTTGTGTATCAGGGATGAAATGGCATTTACTGTGTGGTGACATTTTTAGTTCATTTTAGAGATTGTTTTTGATTTTGTGTGTGTCTGAGCGTGTGCCTGTCGCAGAGGGTGGGGGGAGGGTTGTGTGTGTGTGTGTGTCTGTGTGGGGGTTTTTTTGTTTTGTTTTTTTTAAGTTTCCAGGGTTGTGTTTCTGGAAGGATGTGGAAGTAATCACAGTACTATGTACAGAGCCTTCTTTTGTATTAAAAAATACTTTCAATAAATGTATCATTTTGTGCACAGATCTGGTTGTCATATATGTATGTATGTGTTGTCATGTGTGTATATGTGTGTGTGTGTGTGTGTATATGTCCTTTTCTGCTGAGTTGCTGCTTAGCCAGTTGGTTCCCAGCCTGTGCCAGTGTATGGGATTGTTGTCCCAAGTGCAGGACTTTGCACTTGTCCTTATTGAACTTCATGACACTGCTTTTGGTCCAATCCTCTAATTTGTGGAAGTCTCTCTGAATCCTAGTCCTAACCTCCAGGGTATCTACTTCCCACATCTTGGTGTCATTTGCAAACTTGCTGAGGGTACCAGATCATTGATGAAGACATTGAACAGAACTGGTCTTTGGACTGACCCCAGGGGCACTCCACTTGATACTGGCTGCCAACTAGACATCAAGCCATTGATTATTCCCCTTGGAGCTTGATGATCCCGCCAGTTTTCTATCCACCTTACAGTCCATTCATCCACCCCATACTTCCTTAGCTTGTTTGAGAGAGACCATATCAAAAGCCTTGCTTAAGTCAAGGTATATCACATTCACTGCTTTCTCTGCATCCAGAGCCAGTCATGTCATCACAGGAGGAATCAGATTGGTCAGACATGACCTGCCCTTGGTGAATCTATGTTCACTGTTTCTAATCCCCTTCTCCAAGTATTTAGAAATGAATTCCTTTGAGAACCTGCTCCAATTTACCAGGGATTGAGGTGAGTGTAATTCCTTGGATTTTCCTTCTTCCTTTTTTTAAAGATGGGCACTGTATTTGCCCTTTTCCAATCAAACTTTATCTCCCAACTGCCACGAGTTTTCAAAGGTAATAGCCAGCAGCTCTGAAATCACATTGGCCAACTCCCGTGGCACCCTCGAGTGCATCACATCTGGCCCCATGGACTTGTACATTTCCAGCTTTTCTGAATAATTCCTAACCTGTCTTTTGCCATGGTCAGTTGCTGTCCTCATCCCTAGACTGTACTGCCAAATGCAGTAGTCTGGGAGCTGATCTCGCCTGTGAAGACGGAGGTGTAAAAGGCATTGAGTATTTCAGCCTTTTCTGCATCATCTGTCACTAGGTTGCCTCCCCCATTCAGTAAGGGACCCATACTTTCCCTGATCTTTCTCTTGTTGGTAGCATACTTGTAGAAACCCTTGTTACCCTTGCTAGCTGCAACTCCAGTTGCACTTTGGCCTTTCTGATTTCATCCCTGCCTGCCCAAGCAATACTCTTGCACTCCTCCCTAGTGTTTGTCCAAGCTTCCACTCCTTGTAAGCTTCCTTTTTGTGTTCAAGCTCATCAAAGATGAGCTGGTCTTCTGCCATACTTGCTAGTTTCCTGTATATTGGGATGTTTCATTTCTGTACCCTCAGTAAAGTTTCTTTAAAATACAACCAGCTGTCCTCTGTCTGGGCTTTTGCCTATCAGTTCCTTGAGTGAGTTGAAGTTTGATTTTCTGAAGTCCAGGGTCCTTACTCTGCTGCTCTCCTTTCTTCCGTCAGGATCTCAGAACTGGCATACAGACAGCAGAACAGATGGCTGAACCGAGTCATCTCATTGTTGCTGCTGCCCAAGTTGCCATTGGCTTCTACATCCCCCACCAATTTTTCCCTGTTTGAGCAGCAAGTGAAGAAGAGCACACCCCGCAGCTGGCTGTGCCAGGCAGCTGTCCCCAATACTCTCCAAAAATGTCTTGGATTTCCTGTGCACTGCTGTATTGTCCTCCCAGTGAATGTCAGGGTGACTGACGTCCCCCATGAGAACCAGAGCTTGTGATTGGGAAACTTCTGCTAGGTGTTCTGAAGAGAGCCTCATTCTGGTCTGGTGGTCTATAGCAGCCTCTCCCCACCATGCCATCACCCTTGTTGCTCTCCCGTGACCCTAACCCAGAGACTTTCAATAGGTGGCCCCATCTCCCAGCTTCATACTGGTGCACTGAACAATCATGGGGCTCTTATGTACAGCACAACTCTTCCTCCTTTTGTCCTGTGCCTGTCTTTCCTGAACAACTTGTACCCATCCATGACAGTACTCCAGTCATGTGAGCTATCCTACCACGTCATAGTGCTGTGACTGAGAGCAGGTCCAGTTCTTACTGCTGGCTTCCCAGGCGCCATGCAGACACCTCAGGTGACTAGCCCATTGCCCTACTTTTATCAGGAAGAATGAGGCCTCCCTTGTTGCCCCCTCCTACTTGCTGTTCTTCCATGTCTCCCGCTTCCCCTTACCTCAGGGCTTTGGTCTCTCATTTCTCCTCCCTCCCCCGCCCCAGTTTAAAGCCTTCCTAGCGGCCTGCACACATGCCTCTTAGGTCAGGTGGGTCCCGTCTCTTCCCAGCAATCCTGTTTTTTGGAACTACGTCATGTGGGCGAAGAAGCCAAAGCTCTGCTGGGTATAGTGGGCGTGGGAAGGGTGCCAGGCGGCGCTCCCGCACGTACTGTCCCACAAGAACTCCGGCCGGGGCCGGGCTGCGCGCCGGACTGGCGCTGGACGCCACTGAAGCGAGAAACATCCGGCGCAGGGCGCATGCGGGCGGGTGACGTTCACCTCTGTCCCTAGCCCCGCCCACAGCGGCGGCCCAGTGTGCGCGTGAACAGCGGCCGAGTGCCGGCGCAAGGGGAGCCGCGCGGGCCCTGGGGTAGGAGCGGAGGGACCCGTTGCCCTGTCCCGGCCGTAGCTCCCCCCGGCAGCGCGGCCTGAACTCTTCCTGGAGTCTGTCGAGCTGCCCTGAGTCTCGAAAGCAGCCGCAGGCACCCCGCCTTGTGCCAGGGGGGAGGGGCGTGGGCAGTGTCGGCGCCCAGCTGCTGCTGCGGGAGTAGGCCGGCTCCGGGCAGCCGCGGGGCTCCCTTGATTCCAGGGAGGCGGGGAGAGGCAGAGCAGCCGGTTCCTCAGCACGGCAGGCAAAGAAAAACGTGGGGCGGTGTCACTGGGTAGTAGTAAGGTTGGGGGGCACCCAGCAGAGCGCCAACTAGCACCTCTGCTGCAAGGACAGGCTTGTTTGTTGTGCCAGCCACAGTGTGCAAGGCCTAGCAAGCGAGGACTCTTAAGCCGCCCTCAGGGAGTCCACTAGAAGTGTAATAATAGATTAACAAGGGGAGAGATGAGGGGGTGGGAGTAACAGATGCAGGCTAACAACAAGGGATCCAAGAGGCTGGTCAGTGCCTCTGTGATTGAGTCTAAGGAGCCAGTGGATGCTGCCCAGTGAACAGTGAGGTGTGCAGAGTAACTGGAAAATGGAGGTGGGCATGTGCCTCTGCTGACAAGGGGCAGATGTGAGGCATGTCTATGAAGTGCATCAGGCCACTGCAAAAACAGGCAGTAGGTTGTTGCAATGTACTGGAATGATCCAAGGAAGAGGACCAGGCCCTCTGCTACAGAAGAAGGCAAAAACCCACACAGCAATGCTGATTTGACTGGGGTAAAATTCCTTTCTGGTCCCAAAATGCAGCAACTGGTAAGATTCTGAGCAGAGGAGCAAGAACCTCTAGTTGGGAGCATTTGAGATGCTAGTTGGGAGCATCATGCGTGTGTGCATGATCCCTGTGTGTGGCCTGCCTCTGTGAATATAAAGTGCCATTTACCCTGAAGGCTTTCTAAACCACCCTCTATGGCTGTGTGGAAAACCTCTCTCTCTACTGTAATTAAGGAGAAATAGAAGAGAGTGGTTATTTGTCAGATCTTCTGTATATTCCCATCCATGAGCCTTTGTAAACATCCTTTCTAGTCTGGGTTCATATTTCTCCCAGCAATGTCCCAAAGTCCTCTAATGTCATAGCATGGGCACAAGGGATGGGGGTGGAGAAGCATTCTTTCTTTTCATCTATTTTCTCTCTTCTCATGTAGTAACTATTTCAGCAGGAACTTCAGCACATCCTGATCAAAATAACCAGTCTTTACCACACCTAACACCCAGTGCTTCTGAGAAAGGTGAAATGTGGTGCTGCTTATACGTGTGTAAAGATAGTGAAAGTGTAGTCCTGCAGGGACTGGAAGCTAGAGAGCAGGACCTCATGGCAGCTACAGAAGAGAAAGTTTTCAGAGTCTGGACAGCATCAGGGCATCCACCTTAGAGAGTAAAGGCCTGTATTATCTTTGGGCAATAGTGCAGAAAGCAGACATGAAGTGTATGTGGAAGGAGAGTTTGGGTTAGGCAGGCCTTGAAGTTATAAGCAGTGGAAGAAAAGAGCAAGAAAATCATTTCTGCTTGGAAATTTAGAAAATAAAGTTGAGGTAGGTCCCATTTTGAGTGGAGAAATCCACCAGAGAAAGAACTTATGTAATTTGGCAACATCTGTTTATGAAGTGGATCATCAGGGCTTGGACGTGTCCCTGCCCAGTTGATCTACTGTATTGGCTGATATCTCCCATTGTCCTGCAGGGTTCATCCCTGCTGCTCCTGTGGGAAAATGCTGGGGACCAGTCTCTGCAAATGGGGAAGCCCTGGGTTTTCTCATTTGTGCAGATGCATCGGGATTCTTTGGCAGGGAATTACCTGGGCTGTGTATCAGGCTGCTGCATCCTGACTCAGGGTGGCTCTCTGCAAATGGGAGCCCCTGACTGGTGCTCTCGTGGCTTCAGTTGCTTGATCCTGTATACCAAGAGTGGGCAAAATGTAGCCTGTGGACCGGATCTGGCCCTCCAATTGATTAGTAGGCATTCTGGTTTTCCTTGATAAAAATTGCAAATTCTCTGATTAAAAAACGCAAAATCCATGATTAAAATGAAAGGTCACTGTGTTTTTCTTGATATATTTATGGTTTGGAAGCCTACCAGTGCCTGAATTGTGATAACAAAATAAATTCTAAATACCCATACATTTTGGTATTTGATTTTGGGTTTTTTATCATGGAAAATCATAGCTCCCCGTGCTTCCTTAGCTCACAGAATGCAGGTCCAGGCATCTCACTCCCAAGCCAAAGCCCCTCACTCCCCACCCACAGCTGCTCTGGCCCTGCTGGTGCCCTTCACTTCCCTTCCCTCCCCCCCCCCGCCCCCCCAAAAAAACAACCCCCCCCCCAAAAAAAA